AGGTACAAAAAGGTGGAGGACAAATATTTCTCCCATATCTTTTCAGTGTTTGTGCTGTTTCACTCTCTCTGAAGCATCATTACTCAGCCTCAGAGTCATGCCTTTGTGCGTGACTTTGTAAATAGTTTTAAAAGAGAATGATTTATGAGTGCCTCAGTGCTGAAGGAGACCCCTATTTGTTATCGCTGTTAAAGTCAATCTGCATATTAAATTTTGTGGAATACTATAAAGTAACACAACCCAGATACACACCCACGTCCAGCTTTTGAATGCTCCTCTGCAGTGAAGGCTAATTCCACCAAAGCTGCCCTGGGCTTCCCAAATGATTAAGAAATGTAATCACAGCAGCAATTAACACTGGGCTGTAAAAATAACAGTACTAAACTGCAACAAGGTCATATAAATTATCCGAACAGTTATTTAAAGATCCAAATTGTATGATACCACACTCTTGTGTTTCCGACAAATCAATAAACAACAGCCTGTAACATTTTCTTCCTATGGGAATATTAAACATGTCCCTTCCACCCTCATTTTTCTGGCAGATACTATGTCAAAAGGTGAGATGTCAGCTCAATTAAGACAATGCAGTGCAATAAAACACAATGTGTTTCTCTTGGCAGCAGTTCTGTTTAACCTGCTGCATTTTGTGATGTCACAGTGACTTAGCCACAGCAACAGACCAAAGGTGAATGGTGGCAAGACTTTTCAGTCCTTAATGGTTTGTTTAAATAAATTGGGAATCTGGCTTATAGTCACAAAAGCACGCTGCCCTTTGGAAGTTCCTTTCCCCTTTTCTAATAAATTACGTTTTTGTCCAGCATGTAAGATGAATCTAAAGCCTTTTGTAACCCATTCCAGTTTGTTCTGTTGTTGTTATATCATTTTCTTGGCCCTGTCTCCTCTGGGCAGCCAGATTTAATCTGAGGTTGATACCAGTGTGGGCAGGAGGCGAGGAGAGTGTGACAATCTGTGACCAGAGACATTCATTTCCAGAAGAGGCCACAGGTGTGCAGTCTGCGCCCCTGCAGTCAAGATCCGCTGCCAGCACCCTATAATTGCCCCTGCCCCAGCCCGGCCAGCTGTCCTCACAATGCTGGGGTTGGAAGTGTGGCTGGGGGTTCGAGACCCCGTGATCGATATCGATCCAGTCTGATGCAGTTTTGGGCTGTCCCATGCTGTGGGCATCCTCGTGCATCACTACAATGACCCAGCGCAGAAAACATTTACCACAAAAGACCATTTCAAATCTATAATCCATTCTGTGTGACATTTATCCAGCTATGTGTATTATATTTTTACTATGTCAATCATGGCATGCTCCCTTTTCTCTGGGCATAAAATATGAAAATACTAGATACTGAAAAATGAGATCACTTCAGCATTAAACCTCATAACCTTGAACAGTAGTTCCCTGTGAATTCAGTCTGTGAACTTCAATACCAGCTGTGTTATAATAGCATAACTGAAGTCTGAACTGAACTGCCATTTTCTGGAATTTGAGATCTTTGTTCTCAGCTCCTAAACAGCTGGAGTATTTCCTAAACATGTGGACTAATTCTTTGTAAATACATGTTTTGTATGTTCACCCTGCAGCTCTTTGGCAGAGACACAATGAAACATTCCTCACGAAGCAGATAGTTGAAAGAAGGGTTTCATCGAGTCCCTGAGAGCCCGGCTGACACAGTGATCATGAAAACTAGGATTCACAGGCCTCTTCTTAAGTCGAAGTCAAGTCAGAGTCCAAGATTGCCGGATGGCCTACTGAGGCAAAGAGAAGATCCTGAGATACTTGACACAAGACTGACACCAGCCGTTGTCTAGACTAGGGGTTCCTGGGAACCCCACACCTGCTGGATTTCATTGCAGCTGAGCTCTTTACTTACTACACAAACTCTGAACTGAACCAAAGTGTTGTTTGGTTAGAGCTTTAGCTACTCAAAGGCTGGAGATTTTATATTACTTTAGAAAAACTTAGTACTTAGTAGGGGACCTTCTATATGTTAAGGAACTTAAAGCAATTAAAGAGTCCAAATTAAACCAATTATGAGGCTCCATCAAGACTTCAACTATTCAATAGAATCAAACCAGCAGGTACTGTATGTGAGTCGCCAGGAGTAGGACTGGGACCAAAATGATGGAGAATACTGCAATTTGTGTTCTTGCCCAAATCATAAAAAACCCAACAGCAGCATTTGAAAACATGCTTACTTAGGTTAGTCTTGCACGGAATGGGTCTCACCTGCTAAGAACTGTGCTTCCTAATTAATTTTCTTTCCTCATTGTGCATGTTCGTTATCAAAAAATGCAAGACTTCTGAAACAGATTTGCAGTCCCCTAAGATTTCCCTTTTTCTATTTTTTCATTCTTACTTTTTTTTTCCTCTGGGCTGCGTGTTAAATTCAAAGCACACAGCGTTAATGTTTTATAGGAGTCCCAGTTCTACAGAGCGTGGGCAGCCAGCGAACGACATAAATAATGAAGGCAGGAAACTGAAAAGGAGGGGGAGGTGGGGGTGTCTAGTAGAGTTTCACTCAGCTACATTCATAATGTGAGTTTTCACTGCTCCTGCGAAAGGGAGATTCCTTCAGGAAAAAGAAAAATTCATTATGGATCCTTTCCAGCTACACAACAAAATCTGTTCGTTTTTTTTCTTCCTCGCTGACACACTGAGTGCTGTGAGAACAAGATAGCGGAATCAGAGCGGTTCTGGCGTCGGAACACTCGCCGTGTGTCAGCTGTCCAAATGTAAGGTAATGTAGTAATTGCAAATTTCAGCAAAATCCACCTGGAGCTGCATTACAGAATTATACAGACCTAATTGGAGATGAGGAGAAAAGTAAAGTGGATTTTTTAAAGTTGTGTTTGTAGAAGCAGCCCTTCTTCAGCAGTACATTGAACAAATAGGCAAAGGAAAGTTGAAATTAACTGGATTTGCATTTTCAATTATTCTGATGGTGTCTTTAAGGCTTGAGCATCTATTCCTATAAGAATGCTATAAAATATCTTCGTTTGAAAATGAGATTGAAAGCTGCAGGCAAGTCACACAGACTTGTACTGGTTTGCAATTGTCATCTGCTTTTGCAAGACCTTGATATTTTTTTTTAAATATGGCAGAGGCCTTGTTATTCAGGCTTTTTAAAACTATTTCGGAAACACTTTCGGGCAGTTTAAGACGGTGAAATTGAAATAAAAGTAGATTGTAAGGAATAGTCCATCCATCCATCAATTTCCGAACTGGTCTTTCCAACTCAGTGTCATGGGGGAGCCGGAGCCTATCCCAGCAAGCAATGGGGGTAAGGCAGGGTACACCCTGGGGAGGACACCAGTCAGGGCAGACAGACACAAACACACACACTTTCCCCAGGGCCAAGTTACCAGAAGCCAATTAACCTACCACCATGGACTGAGGGAGGGAACTGGAGAGTCCAGGGGAAACCCACGTGACCACAGGGATAACATACAAACTCCATGCAGTCAGTACACCAGGAACTGAACCCAGGAAGCAACCTGCTTTCCAGTTCCTCCAAACGGAGCAGACATGCTTCTGTTCCATTAACAGTTAAGCTCCTGATTCCCCAATCCCAAAGGACAGCACTTTTTTCATTTGAGCTTGTCCACTTGATTTGAAACTTTGATTATAAAAGGATCTACACACTGAATCCCGACAAACCCAACTGAAATATAAAGGGATCCAAGAAGATTCTGGTGGATAAGGTGTGAACTGTTACACCCTACGGTTTTCCCTCACAACGTAACTAATGTCAAATAAAAATCGTCCTGGGTCGACTCTTTAAGGCTTTTAATCAAAATGTTACCGAACAGTGTTGCGCTCTTTCTTTCAGCTTGGCAAGTAGGTGCTTGTTAGTTGTCTCCTACACCAACGGCTTGGGTCAAGAAGATTGTCTCCCACACAGACTCCCCTACCTCCTGGGCACGGCCCATTGACCCCGGAGAAAAAAACATTCCCTTGTCTTGTGATTAAAGAGCAGGTGAAAGAAAACGATTCAGATCTTACTAGGAACCTATTCCCTTATCTCACTGTCTTTAAGGAGACAAGAGAGCAGCATAAAAAACAGGGTGGTGTACAAATTAAGTAGGGAAATTCTATTTAATTCGATGAGATCAGCCCTGCAAAACAGCAGAAAAATGGACAGATATGTGCAAATGTGAAAGCTGCATGAAGCTGTAGGACTTCATTTGAACACGAAACTGGCTTCATTCAGTTCATTTGGTCCTTGGTAGTGCATATCATTCATTAAGTTAATGAAGGTCCCCCTGTCAGGAGGGCCTGGGTGATAGATAGGCGGTCTGAGTGTCTGTGTTTGTGAAGCGTATCGATGGCTATCCAGGCTGTCAAGGAAAACTGCCACTGTAAACAGAGCTGTCTCCAAATCTCACTCCACAAAACGTCACATGTGATATGTGATATGTGCTGCATTATGGCCGCACAGATTTTCATACTGATTCAGTTTGTATGCCGTTAATTGTTGGCAGTTTTCTGCAGGAACTGCATTTCTCATCGTAATGGTCCCATCTATATGGCTGATGATAAAAAGTGAGGTTCCTGCAGTGTACGTGCTGAACTATTATCTGCACACTCTTGTGCTACTGGAGCCCTTTGCCTTTTCCTGCATAAGATGTCTATGTGCTGTATGGATTGTCCTCGTCCTTCATGTCTTAGAGTAGGTAATTCTGTGTTCCTCTGCAGCCAGCTGGACACTTGAGAATCTGGGTGAAATAAAAAAAATGTTCTTTGCAGTAGACTGAAGGATATTATATCCATTCTTTTGTATACAAAAACAAAAAAAAGTAATGCATCAGAATTAAATGCAGATGGAAAAAAATGGAAACAAATTTATTGATTCCCAAAAACTATCAAATAAGGAAACCAATACAATGTTACCAGAACAAAGAATAAAAGCAGACCTAAACCTGCTGGTTGTGAATGGATGTTTCTTTCCTACTATATTTTGACAGCTAACAAATGACGCAGTAGATGCTATTGATCACTTTTTTATTTCAGAATAATTCTTCTCATAAAATACATTCTGTTCTACAACATACCTTCAATACTGTCAATAACAGGTTTGACACTTTCAAAAACCATCCAACTGTCATTGATGTCAAACTCTTTATATTAGTGTTACAGTTTCAATATACTATATTACTTACATAGATTGCACACAATTAGTAATAAACGTTTGTTCTTGTATTCTGCTCCTAAGCTGTAGCGAATCTGGATAATGTACTGGCTTGTTCCAAAGCATTTCTAGCACTTCTAGATCTGACTTCCACGCTCAAACGTCGAAAGAAAAACAGTACAATGTCTACATGGATGAGGGGGAGAGAGAGAAAGGGCAGAGTTGATTATGGGTATCATTGATTCCCTCTCTCTTCCTCGTACACGGAGAGGGCTTAACAGCCAGAATGTTGTACTATTTCCTTTCACTTTTCCTTGTGGAACTAGCCTGTACTAGCCTGTACTTGTTCCAGTGCAGCCCGCACTCCCCCCCAGCTCCTCGTTCGAACCCCTTTTGTAGATCTTGCCAGCTTGGGTCGCCCCAGAACGTTAGTAGAGCCACACAGCTGAGAGCTGACCTTTGACCTTGTCTAAGGACAGCCACAAGGTTGTTCACCTGATCCATTATTCTCCTGCAAATGATTAAACTAGTAACCCTTTAAAAATCTCAAGAGAGTACAGATGAATATATTTGCTATTGAATCCAAAATACAAAAGCATCTTGTTACATCTAGTGACTCATTAGATTACCTGCTTCACAAACAACTTGTTACCAGCTTTGTAAGCAAATTTCACGTGTACGCCACTCCTTCTGCTCCTGATGGAATACACACCCCTGTCCCCAGGTTAAAACATTCTCACAATGCAACAGATCCCTGGCAGTGTGAAAAGAGGAGGAAAATGTGAAAAGCCAGGCAATTAACAGCCTCTTGTTCTTTGTTTCTTTTTAAACACGGTGAGAAGTCTTCCTCTGTTTAAAAAAAACAGCAAACCCAAGGCCTGGCCATACGAAGTCAATAAGAAGGCCGAAGGTGTGGGCGTGTTTCAAAGTGTGACTCTGTTAAAGACTGCAGCTGAGAAGATTATTAAACACATCCAGCTGGACTACTGGCAATCGTTACTCTGTCACCTTTGGCATGGCATGAGTTCTAGGAAAATGCAAGGTCATCTGTACGGACAGAGGCCTGCACCACAGGCTCTTCCTCAGAGCAAGGGGAGGTCGTATTGCAGGGGTCCTTGACCAGCAGGAGGGGTGTTGCACTGACACCTGCCTGATCACTGAGCGGGCTGTGAAAACCATCTGGAATTAAGTGGGCTAAGTGGAGGGAATTGGTAAGAAAGAAAGGATCTCACAAGCTGCGTAGACAACAAGCAGTCACACTTAGGAGATACATGGCAAAGATTTTGACCTGAGAAAGGTTTTAAACACAGTGGTGTGGTGTAGTGCTTGTTTTAACATAGGCTAAAAACTTTGTTATGGCTGCAGCTAGTATCCAAAGATCCTTGAATATTTTGACTTTTTACTTCTATGGTGTACAGTATCTCTGAACAGAATGTGTCTTTCGGTTAATAACAGCCCTCCCTCTCTACCTTAGTGCTGTGAATGTCTGGCCGCCCAGCGAGGAAATCCAGTGTCGAAAATGTTAATTTTGAGGAAACCATGCAGTGTCTGTAGTACCTCCTCCAGGGTAGATCCCACTTCAATATTTTGCTCGACTGTGGAATGTATTTGTGTTGAGAGTGGGAATTATTACACACACGTTCTTATTTTCTGTCTGTATAAAAATGAATCGAGATATTCTAACGAGACAGTTCAGTTCAAAGGCTCCAGTCCTGTTCTGAAGCTTGATGGTGTGTTTAATGATGTTGTTCTTAGCCCTGATGCTTGTTTGTCTTTTAGCAACCTTTGCAGTTCTGAAAGACAAGGGGCTGCTGAGAAAAACAGGTGAAACGCCACGTAATGTCACAAAATTGGATGTGTCTGAATCTTCAAGCTTCAGTGTTATTACAGCAATTAAGAAGTTGTATAATTGGTCGAAATGATTATTTTTTTCAGGTTCCTGAAACTGGTCCATTAAACAAATATCCTGCAAGCTAAAATCCTTATGAATGTTTATCTAGTGCAATAATATATCTGCTTCAGGCTGCAAAAGGGTTTCTTGCCTGGAGTTCATATACTGTATTTAGCAAAGCCTAGGTAATCTTCGCATGGAAGCAATCAGCAAGGTTATTCTATCACAAGCGCTCATGGTAGCCAACTGTGTTGGCGGCAGGTTTTAAGAAGGCACAGCCTGTGGGCCTACTCTATCTTGCCCAAAAAGCTGCAGACCAGGCTCTGCAGGTCCTTAGCTCTCATCTTGGAGGTCTGCAGCACCTCCTCGTGGTTGGTCTTCTCCTGGCTGTCGTAGTCCATCACTACTTTGTTGGTGATGAGAGAGATTCCAAACACCTGGAGGCCACAGTGCCTGGCCACGACCACCTCCGGCACTGTGCTCATACCTGAGAGAGACGGGGGGAGGAAATTACACCACAGTAAAGTGAGAGGCTAAGAGATAGAAGCAGGAAGGACTGGATAGCACGGAATAATGGGATGGGGTGGGATAGAGTAGGATCAGGGGCAGTGCCATTCTTGAAGGAGGTAGGGGGGGGGTGAGGTAGGCTGCAGTGATAATCAGGAGATGGGGGAAGGTGTGGAGCCCCATTGCACACTTTCTTATCCTGTGGGTGGGTGGGGGTTCCCTTACAAGAGTTTTGTTTCCCATGACGAGGAGGGAGTTTTTCTGTGCATTAATGGGTCTTGCTTAAAGTGGGCGTGTCTTTCTCTGAAGCCCAGAGGGGTTGGGGCTAGAGTCTCCCCAGCCTTAGGACAGAACTGCCTCTAGGACAGGTCTCACAAAGTGAGAGGCAGCCTGCAGCCTGAGAGAAAGAGCAGGTGTGAGTGGGAGAATGAGGACATCGGGGGCAGAGAGTGCCTGAACAGGGGAAAGCCAGCGCCCAGTTCCGCTCACCCACTGCGTCCCCTCCCAGGGTTCGGAGCAAGCGGCACTCGGCCACGGTCTCGTAGCTGGGCCCCGCCGCCATGCAGTACACTCCGCTCCGGACGAAGTCGGAAAAGCCCAGCTCACTCGCCGTCTTGTTGGCGATCCGGAGGAGGCCCTTGTCGTAGGCGTCAGACATGCAGGGGAACCGCACGCCGAACCTGCCGGTCATCGATCAGAACGCGGTCGTGTCACATGTGACCTCCGGGACACCACTGGGAAACAGCCTGTAAACAGTCTCGGTAGCGAGGAGGTGAGCACCAGAACTTTGATATTGAGCCCTCTCTGTAACAGTGTATTGATCAACAGTGGTGGCTTCAGAACTAACCCTCAGTAGCTTGGTATAACGCGTTGTATACTTAACAGCAGTCTACAGTAAACAGGAACATTATTTTGTTGTCGTGGCAAGATCCTTGGAAGAACATGTCAGATCATCTGAATGATTGCTAATAGTGTTTAGTTTTTCTCCATGTGACATGTTGTATAATGCTGGGGTAAGAGACACTGAAATGAATAAACCTGTGTTACGAAGGTTACCATAATTTGTTTACTCTGTAGAGCTCTTGGCAAGAGTACCTTCAGGCTTGGAGGACTTCCAGCCGGGTCATGCTTGGTGCTGTTATCACATATGGAACACAATGAAATTGCTGAAAGCCTCACCTCTCCTCATTGGGCCCGAACAAGGGGTTTTGACCTGTGATGCCTGGAATGTTGAGGTGGTCCTTGATGAACATGATGTCTCCCACCTGAAAATCTGGGTTCAGTCCCCCAGCTGCGTTAGTGACAATCAGGGTCTTCACCCCCAGGAGGTGGAATACTCGGACTGGGAAGGTCACCTGGGGTGATGACACAGAACAGCAGCTAGTCAGCATGGCACGCTGCTCTAACAGAGAGTGGATCTCTGCATACATGCCAACAAACAGAAGCCTTGGCACCATCCGGAAAAGCACGCTCTCACTGACACACCCTGTCCCAGATGGTCCCAAGAGCCAATGTCTAAACTTAACCAGATCATCTTGGCTAATCATGGTCCCAGCCAGCTAGCTATTGGTATAGTCCAAGATCCAGCCAGTAACAAAGAGCATAGCTTTAATGATTGAACCACCAATGGGGGAATCCCAGAGTTACTCCACCACGGTCTCGAACTGCAACAGTAGGGACTTAAAGCCACAAAAAACATTGCAATCCTAGAGGGCATATTGAACTTCAGTCAGTAAGCAGCAAGGAATACAGAGAAAGAGACCGCAAAAAAGTTTCTCTTCCACAAAATGACATGGAAGATGTTGATACATTTTGCAGGGATCCTTTCAGCAGTGGGGTTGGTGTGTTTTTCATGACTTTCACACACAGACATGGTGGGATAACTTAATGCTCACCTTTCATGAGAACCCTCCTACTTTCCCCTCCATTGGCAATGAAAAAGCACTGGATTTTTTCAACGATCTCTTACTTATTAACTTTTTAGGTTGATGATCCATTCCTTGAAAAACTGAATAAGTCTTCGGCTTTTACACAAAGCGTCTATGAAACAAGTTCTGGATTAGTTCTGTCCTTTAGTAGTTCTGTTCAGAAATGACCTGTATGCAGGAGAAATGCAATTACCTGCTCTATTTGTTAACTCAGTGCTGTTTTGTGGGATTGTTTTGTGACACTCTAAACTGAACAGTGACCGAAATGATCTATTTATTTTTTATTATAAAGCAAAATAATAAAAAAAGAAATAATATTTATTCACATTGGTAACTGTGATTCATAGACGACAGATGGTTTAGGAACATTTCCAGCAGGTGAGGACTGACATCTATTTAGAAAGAGTTACGAAGCCACAGCTACAGAATGTTCAATTTTTCATTTTGTCTGCCTTTGAGACTGCATTTCTCCGAGGCTAACAAATCTGGTGAAAGTCCAATTCAGAGGGGTGGGGGTAGTGAGTTTGCTTCCAAACTTTAAAGAAATAACTTCTGAGACCTACATCACAAGGCACAAAAGGGTGTGAAGGGTGTGATCAAAGGTTATTGGAATGGTTTCTCTGTCACACTGACAGCAGTGTTCTTTGGTTTGTCTATAAACTAATAATGAGTCAATTATCATCTAGCCTGAACTTTGCAGACAGGCAGCTTAACCATTCTAGAATCTGACATGCTGCTGAAAGAATTCTTGATTAACACAGAGCCAGTGAGCAGTTTTCTTACTTCTGCTTTGAGCATTAATAGTAATAGCTGAAAATAACAAGCCCTCTGCCCCTTAAAACCCGCTTCCTTAAAACTGTCTGCAAAGCCATACAACCGCAAAACCTTTCAAACCACATGTGGACAACATTTCCTTTCAGTATTGGTTCTTCTTCCTAAAAAGAAACTGTCTAGACGACAACAACAATAAAATATTAATGTCTCGAAAATGTTCCCTGAGATATGGCTCAGAATGTTTTCTGAGATATACTTGGCTTTTAGATTGTTCTATTGTTTCTGCATCAGAAAATGGTGTTACATTTACATGACTTGAGCAGTGTACTGTATGTGGTTTTCCAGCACTGGCATTGGATTCTGGAGGCAGTTTAAAGGGTTTTTAAAAAGCAACAATGGGGAGAAGGATTTTGGTGCAATTTTGTCCTAGGCGAAAAGAACATCCTAGCGTAGACATGTCTGCTGCTGTACTTTCAGAGATGATTGCATTGCGATCTTCGTTGGATCAATTTCGTTGACCCCAAACCCTCCATCCATTTTACATTGCTGTTAATAAAGACAGATCATGTGAAATAACAAATAAAAGCAGGGAAAGCAGGAAGACATTAACTCACGGAATTTAATATCGAGACGTCATGAGGGGACTTGGCCAAGAGAGAGCATTCAGTCACAAAGGACGAAGAAGTATGTATATGTGGGTGTGTCTGGGGGGGAGGGGCTCACCTTTGTAAGGGCATATCCCTCATAGAAGTGAAACCTGCCCTGCATGCAGACACATGGTTTTCCTTCGATCTTTCCAAAAACCAGCTGTCCAGAGTGTCCAGGAACTAAGGGATTGGAGCAAAACAAGCCTGGGTTAGAACTGGCAGGAGCAAACCTACAGCTCAAGAGCAGAACTTCTTCTTTTCATTAAAATCACAAAGACCATTACAGTCACTTCTCTCCAGATCATTGTTGAAGACTGGTTGTCTCCTCTCTGATTAATTGCTTCTTTTAAAGGAAGGATTTAGACCCATTAAATGCTTAAATGTAAAGAGTTCTGCAGACTTGACAACATTTCTTTTAACTTGGTTTCACACCTGCCCTGCACCTCATCATACAAAAGACTCTGACTCAAAGCAGAGACGTCTCGATTCCAAACTTCAACAAAGGTTGAACATTTTCGATATTCTGAACCTGTAGATGGTGTTGCAGGATATGAACCTGGCCCCAGGTGAAAATCATTCACCTTTCCTGGTGCACTGGTCCATCAATGAAAAGAGACACAAAATGGAGCTGAAATGTGACCGGATGGACATGTTCTGTGAAAGCCCTCAAAGGTCTGTTGGTCTACAAACCAACAAGAGTCACTTCATCCTGCCCCCTCCCCTCACCCCAGCACTGGCATCTGTGAAGTGGGAGTACAGATGTCTTTTCCATGGGAGAGTCTATTAACTACATCCAGCCCTTCCCATTTCATTTCTCATTAATGAAATTAATGAGACAGTTTATGAGGAGCTGGAGGAAGGGATGAAGTGTCCGTTCAGTTTGTCTTGCACTGTATAAATGAGATGTATAAATCAGTGAAGCCTTTCTTGTCGTTTGGGAATGATCCCAATGGAAGTGATAATGTTCTTCTCTTTAGGACCGTTTGGCCCCTGACAACAAAGGCATCTGTTTAGTACAAAAATGCAGTAAACGTTTCAGTAATGATGTCACTAGGGAGCAACAATGACATCAAGAATGGCTTTGATGATGAAATCCTACACTTTTAGTTTTAGAAAACGTGTATCATACAGATGGGCAGCATGGAGGTGCAGTGGTTAGCACTGCTAAACGGTGTCAGTGCTGGGGCCTGCGCTTTGATCCCTGGGGCATGATCTGCATGGCGTTCATATGTTCTCCCTGGGTTCGTGCGGGTTTTCTCTGGGTGCTCCAGTTTCTTCCCACAGTCCATAAAACATGCTGGTATGTTACTTGTTTTTTGTGAAACTGGCCAGAGGGGTGAGTGTGGGAGGTTTGTGTCTGTGTATCTGCCCTGCGATGGACTGCCGTCCCACCCAGGGTATACCCTGCTTTGCCCCCGTTGTTGTTCGCCGGGACAGACTCCTGCTCCTCCATGACTCTGTATTGGCAGAAGTTGCTAGAAAATAGTTGGATGTGCTGTATTATGCGGTTATACGGTTCACTTTAAGTACATGCTATAATGCAAACCATAAGTTATTCGATTATTTGGCACATAAAAGGTTATAAGGGCTGATTGTGTCACTTTTTGTTTTTATACCAATATTACAATAAAGTAACGGCATGTCGAATGCAGGGTAGCACATGTTGCTTCTCTTTGAAATACTTCACTGGGATGAAATAACTTGCTCATCTGAGTCCTTTTCTCCTACAGTAACAGTGCAAATTCCAGTGTTTCCAGTAAATAGTGCAGTTATTTTCCATTTAGACTGAGTTATGATGGTGTTACTCTCAGTGTTTAAAATGATGAGTAACAGTCTGAGATGGCACCCCCACCCCCTTCGTAAACATTCTAGCCAATAGGGATTCAAATATTAAGATATCATTCCGCCTCTGAGAGACTTCAGATCATTGCTTTCCCACCAGCACATAAATGGAAACCTCAGTGCACGACACATGCATTGTAACGCTTAGTGTAGGCTGTGTGTAAGACCAGGGGTCAGTCAACTGCCTTTGTGACCGAATGCCAGAAATTCCTGCATGGCCTTAATGCTTTCCCTGTTGAGCCAGTAAAGTCTTTGTGCCTCAAACTGAACAAAGCAGGGTGGAGATTAGCTCAAGGTAACACACAGGGTTGAGCCACATGTTCCTGCCCAGCTGCTGCTGGAATGGAAATGAATCCCATCTATGATGAAGCCCAGAATCACAGGGGTACAAAATCCCATGTGGCACAGACTCCCAGATACTGGGCTACTGTACAGAGTCCAACTGACCTGTGCTCTGGGAGAACCTGGGAATGTCCTGATAAGGGAAGATGGCCTTGTCACCCAGCAGGTCAGCCAAGCCACCCAGCCCAGACCCACAGATTATGGCCACTTTCGGCCTCAGGTCAGTTCGGGTGAGTAACCAATCTGCTGTCTCTTTGTAGTCTTCGAAAGTGTAGCTGAGGAGAGGAAAACAATTTCACTATTCTAGATCCTAGACATTTTATAGCATTTTTTCTATCTTTAGGGTCCCCCAAAATATTAATATTAACATCACTTTATTAACCCTTTACAATTTCTTGCATTAGGAATGATCTTTTCTCATACCCCAGCTTGCTCCCCATGAGACACACAGACAGGGAGAGAGCCTGGGGTCAGAGTGTAGGGTCAGCTATTGTACAGCGCCCCTGGAGCAGTTGGGGTTAAGGGCCTTGCTCAGGAGCTCAACAGAGTAGGATTCCTCTGCCAGCTGCGGGATTTGAACCAGCAACCTTCCAGCCACAGGTGCAGATCCTGAGCCACAGAGCCATCTCTCTGTCCTGAATGAGATCTGATTTGAGATCAATTAATTATCTCAAAAGTTGTTCTCTTCATTTTTTCCTCCTGGATCAGATATAACTTTCTTTATTTAAAGTCTTATAGCACTGCATTCATTAGAATTATAGTGTTTGGGAAATTCCTCTAAGATATATACACATGACAGACCTCTATGTTGTGTGCTCTTTATAAGTTGTTACTGTGACTGCTGACTGCACACTGTGAGTCTTTTCTGGGTGTACAACATGGGCAGGGATGGGCTCTGATTGCATACTGTACTTTTGAACAGGTCATCTGTTTCATGAAGTCTTTCCTGGGACTTGACCAGCCTGGATGCATTTTCAATAAAAGGAGAATACATTATTTTACTCAAGCGAAGAGGAAGTCAATAGCAGCCAACTGCAGTCACAGATCTCTGAACAGCCTTGTATGTGATGCACAGAACTTGCCCTGACATCTTCTTCAGCTCTTACAGTTCATTACAATGGATCGATTCAATTTGCTAGAAACATTGCTTTGGTTTTTTCAACAAGCAGAGCTACCATGAAAGTGAATGAACTGGAATCGATGAACTCATGCATAATGTGTTTTTGTCCAATCGCTCATCATCCAATAAATTAGTAGAATGTACAAATAGGGTTCTTTGCCATCTACAGTATGGTGTAGGTATCTCATCAAACCTCACATCAAAAATATCTGGAGCTCCGCCAACCTCACCCAACTGCCCTTAGCAGCTCACAAGTATAAAAATATACTCACAAAGTTTACCACTGTCAAAGCTGAGAGAAGATCCTTCAGAACTATGTGTTTAAAGAAACTTGTTAAGATCACATATTGGACAAACACTTACTATGGTTGAGCTAAGATCTATCAGCTGTGCTTATGTCCCTAGTGATAGTGAAGGTGGAGTTCAGAATTATCATCTTGGATGAGGGCTAGCAGGCAAAGGTGAGTTGTGGCCTTGAGAAAATAAACCAGTTACAGGCCACAGACCTTTTCAGTCCCCAGGAAAGGACATTCACTCATCATCACAAAGTCTCCAGTCCTGGTGAGTGTTCCAGTAGCCTGAAATCTCTCCTTGTAGCATGGTCAGGGTGAGAGCAGTTCTGCCCTGAGATGTTGGCCCATCAGATAAAAACGACCATTTAGAGTAAGCGATCAAGCTAGCCGGCATGTTTTTCAGAGGAAAGATGAGCAGGAGTTGAGAGGCAGTAGCTCAATCTGGCGTGTCAGTGTGCTGGCACGGAGGAAAGAACATCCTCACACTGTTGCAATCACTAGGCCAACTCTGATCATCTCATTTCCCTGGAGGAATGAGTTTTCAAATATGTCCAAGACTTCTTAAGCATAACAAATGTCAGAGATCTATCAGCCTGTCTATCTAAAAATGCTATAAATATTTTCTGTTAGGCACCGCTGTGGCACAAGCTTCCACTGTTTTACAGTGCACTAGTACTTTACAATAGGACTTTATTGTCTTATTTCTCTGAAATGGTTCTTGCATCAAAGCAGCTGTTTTACAAACAAAGAAACATACACCACATACAAGCAGTGCTAGTACATGTTACTTTAAAAGTAAATAAAACATGACATAACAGGCCTCGATCCATACATATTCATTTCACACCACCCCTAGAGGAATTCACACAACTACACCGGGACCCTGTGAATTTCCTTACTTCACAATTACACAGATCACTACACTTTCCTTCTATGCAGCTGAAAAATAAACGGATGTCTAATTATCCTATAAAATGATTCTTAATAATTAAACCTTGTGCACAAGGTGACAAGCCCTTAGTATATTTTAAGCTAAATGTTTATGTGAAGAGATGCTACTTTGGCCATTTGAAGACTTACCCACTGTGTTTTGCAATATTAGTACCACTGAAACTACTGAAAGGTAATGTAGCCTTGGCGATAAGGTCTTGCAAATAATTGGGAGAGCCATTCACAAGTGCACGAATATTTCTGATGAACATAATTGGGAAACCGAGTAAAAATGCACAGGATGTGGAAACTATAAACGAGGCAGAAAAACGGATACGTTTCTTGAATAACGTTCTGCTGAAAATATATATATGACTCTGTTCAAGTAGGTAGCTGTGTCAGCATGCCTGCAAAGGAACAAGAGTATTCCATGCTGAAAAGAGAAGAAAAGAAACTCAACGTTTCGGGTGTGGAGCCTTCTTTGGGTGTGGCCGAAACGTTGTGTTTATTTTCTTCTCTTTTCAGTATGGAATAAACGTGACGTGTTGTACGCTGACTGTCCTCTCACGATATGGTCTCTTTTTTTAGTTTTTTTTTCCCCTCTTTGGTTAGTTTATGTCAGGACTCGTATAAACCAGCTCATGAAATGAATATGCTGTCTGTCAATCTGTAATGTTTCAAACTTTGTGTTTTATAACTTTATAGTCACTTTATAGGTGACTATAAACCTGTTTATGCATAACTGTACTGTACTTCGTCGCCTTTACTCAGCGATGCGAGAAGAGGGGTAAAGGTCTTTTATAGTCTCCAGTGTCAAAAACTAATCTGATCTAAACTGTCCTGGTCATGAACTTGTATTCAAACAGTGTCAGTTTGATAATATATAAGTATATAAACTAACCTGTGTATTCATTTAATGGAAACAAAAATAAACAAGGGATACCCAAAACAAGTAATTAAAAATGCTGAAGTAATCCACTATCCTCATACAGGTTGAAACCTACTACGTACAGACCAATTTGATCTAATTAAATTTAGCAGGAGTGTGATTTTCTGCTCAGTTCACAGTGGGCGGCACCTTAAATCCTCTTTCTCAGTACAATTTTTATGAGTACATTTTTTATGTCATTTTGCAGTCGTTCTATACAACCGTGAGTCGAGCCAAGCGACGGCGACAGGTTTTCACGGGGAAGCGGAAATGCGTGACTCCGCGGCGACGCGCGGCCGCATTGCGGTGCAGAAGCAGGGCGCTGCGGGACCAGGGGCGAGACCGAGGCGCCGGCGCGGCTGACTGGCGGAGCTGTCCAGGGTCCTGACAGGCAGCCCCGGTTGGACGCGGCTCATTCCAGAGGCGGCGGGGACGGCTGTGACGACGAGGCGATCTGGCAAGCGAGTGGGCTGCGACAAAGGCTAGCCTTTGCTGCTCACTGGAACAACACAATCCCGTCTGCACGCTGAGAGCCGACCTGCTTTTACACCCTTTTCATCTGAGGGCTTGACAGCAGCTGAAAAAGCTGCTGGTGTGCTGAAGTGTCAAAACGCATTTGACTGGGCTTATGATTTCCCTTGCAATTTGCTTTCGTATCCGAGAAAAATAAAATCTTAACAGACTTTATTATGCGGGGGATTAGGTATCATTTCAGAACACAGTAGTGTAGCGAAACATATATTTTCGTTTTCAAATCAGTAAATAAAATGCAAATTAACTGTACAAACACACTGACACCGAGTCATCCGGAGTCGCGACAAACAGGTTTAAAAAACAGGAGGACAATATTTAAATCGCACTCTACGTGTGATCGTTACACCGGTACCTTTGTGATTTTTGCATTGTTAGTTTTTATAGTATCACAATGAAAAAAAACAACAACTTTTGTTAGTAATTCGACCCGTCATTTCCAGGGCTTTTACCAGTTAGGTGGTGAACGCTGAGAAGGCCGTCGAAGATTTAAGACGGTCACTTCCAACGCATTTGAAAAGGTCAGAGAGATTTGTTAATATACCAGCTATTTTCCGGTGTCTCTATGGCGTGTGCCGGCAGTAAGAAAACATTGCAACAGGGTGTAGGGCGATCTAAGATCAGAAGTGCGCCCGTGTTCGCTTCTCTTGATTGTCAACGTCGGTAACTCGATAGCTCTTCTATTCGTAAGAACCGTTCTCGTGGATCGTGGATGTACTGTGCTCTCTTACTCTTTTTACACCCTGATGTCTTACCTGCACTCGGGAGCGGATCCCATAGCGGGCGAGATGTCTGGACTCCGCTTTGGAAGTGCGGCGGGCGGCGATAGAGCGCTCTGTCAGTTACAGATGGGCGAATAAGTCTGCCTGGAGGTCAGAACTGCCCCGGATAGTGCTTTCCTCTCGTAGGGTGGCGTGACAGAGGAGTGGCCGGGCCGGGGAAGGTCCTCGCAATCTGTTTTCTTTATCTGCCCATGCCCCGCTAACAAACCCACCAAGACAGACACCGTTAACCCATTGTCACAACGGAGCACCTAAATATGTCCTTAGCTCTGCTCGACTTCCTTCGCAGCGAGCGCATTGCGCATTGTGACCCAACAATGCACACGCGAAATATCTCAAATAAACCGCATTTCTCTCCTCTCTCCACCTTGTAAATAATAGTATCCTGACGAATCTTGTTTTGGTCGCTGTTAAGCGGATGAATGTGGTGTTTAATATTATTGTTAGTAGTAATAGTACCGGCAGGATCCACACACATATTGTATCGTCTCACGTACGAAGGAGAGGTATCCATTACGAACGTATGACTTGGAGTTTTAAGAGGATTTATTCATTTCGTTTGGCTTTAAAATTCAACTGAGAGAACTGCTTTCCTGCCAGTGCCCCCGTTTCAGAGCCCTCCAGACAGCACAGACAGCTACTGTGCGTTTTAATTAGGGATTAATTAGGAACTACCAGATTTACTGCATCTGCTGACCTACAGTGGCAAATAAACATTCAAAGCTCCTGTGCACGAAACTCAGGACATGTACAGTAATTATTCTTTTATTGACAGGATTATGGTTTTGTCAGAATGAATGGCACCAGTTGTTTCATAGGGAGTTCTACTTCGTTATCTGGTAAGAAACCATTGCAATATTTCCCTTCTTCAGTAAGCTAGATGAGTCAGAGCACAAGGTGACCAGAACAGCTGGGTCTGCTGAATTGCCTCACATATTGTGATACAAATTCACAGAGCACCAGTCCACCATTCGGCAGGAGAATCGAACTTATTGAGCCATTTCCTAACATGCAGGACTTATAATAGATGAGCAAATAAATTCTCTTGCAGCTAGGAATTTCTTAGCATCCCAGTAATCTATAGATCTGCACACTCAGAGTATGCAGCATGTGACCTCCCTCCCTGATATATGCTACTCCAGGCAACGATTGTCCCTGCTTATTATTTTAATGGGAGTTCATTAATGTGATGTAAAGGCTGGACACCAGAGAAGTCTTAAGCTGTGTGGGTGCACATGAACAGGGGCAGGGCTAAAAAACCCTCCATCCATAAATCACAGATCAATACCCTCCATATGTCAATAGCCACCAGGTCTGTGTGCCTTCGGTATCAGGAGGTAGATGGGGAAGCTGTATTGGAAAAGGCCGGTCTTCTGCAGGTCTTGATCAGGCAGGACAGCAGAGCCAGGATACAATGCCCGATATCAGACTTCACATCAGATTAATGGACCCTTAAGTGCCAATACGCTATGTAATTATGATTATTAATTCAGTTTAAAAGTATATATTTTATTGTGATAGCCCAGGAAAGAAGCTCGTCGATTATGTTGTCCAGGAATATAAATTGCGTTTGCGTGTCGTGGCTATTGAACCAAGCAGAACAAAGGAAAAATAAATTAAAACCTTCCCCAGGTCTTCATAATTCAGTTTCAAATTTTCTGGAAGTATGGGGCCATGAAGACGTCTGAAGGAAAATGGTCTGTGCTCCTTCTGCTTCCCGATAATTGAACTGAGGAACAAGGTGCCTTCTATGTGAACAATACCAGTCTCAAGACAGGCATCACAAGAATGGAAATGATTTTACGCAGGCTCTCTGGATACTGCAGGCTGAGGTCCTAACTTTGCACAAAGGCGAAATCCATGAAGCTTAAAGGGCAAATAGTTGGGTTCTTCAAATGACAGCATCATATATCACTGATGAAGATTCACCAGCTGTCTATAGTATTGTAGATGCACACAGGATGAGCAGAACTGCAGTATTTAATGGGAAATTATTGCTGAGAAACAAATTGTCTTGATGACGCCGTCTTCTGTCAGTCTTCTTATTTTTTTAAGCATTCTTTTTCTTGGGTATTTTTTTGCATTAGTGCAATATTTATAACAGCATGTTACTATTTGAACTCTACCCTCACTGTAGAATATTACAATTGAGTTACTTCATAAAAAAACGGACAAATGAAAGGTAGTCTCAAAAACAAAACTGCAGAAATCTGGCGTTTACATTTTGTGAACAAATGGGCTTTAATCTCCTGCATTAATTTCCTGTTTTAACCTTTAAAGTATCTACTCTTTAGCTAGCAGCAGGACACAGCCCATATTTCATTTTTTTAGTCTTGAATTGTTTTGGAGAGACCAATGTTTTTAACATTATACCCCTAAACCACTCCTGTATTGACCATGGGAGTTTTGGCAAGTGATCCTATGAAATAAAGCATGCTTCAATAAAATATTTTTCTGCTAAAAGCATAATTAATGCTCTTAATGTTGGTTAGACAGAAGGGAGGGATACTAGAGACTCATTCATCCGAAGTTCAAGCAGCTCTCAACACAGTTACAACAGCTTGACGCTTGTTTGATCAAAGCAGCAAAAAACTGAGTGTATCCATCAACATACAGAACACCCTCACACATTTCCTTGTAAACCATTGCAATTTAGTCTTGTAATCTCGTTTTTTTTCATCTGCGTTCTGCTACAGTGCCTTTCATCTTTTGAAACCAGTGAAGGCAAGATTGTTTCATTTTTTTTCATCGCCTTCTCCCAAACATCTGTTCACTTTCCTTCATTAGGGACAGTGTGGTATGAAGCACCACAGGGAGGGCGCAGAGAGAGACTGGGTTTTAGTATCTTTCAAAATAATTTCACAAACCCTCTCTATAAGAACTAGGTTAAAGTCCATGGTTCAGGAACTTAAATGAAAGTAACACCCCCTTCCTCCAACAATGCCCTTTTGCGCTGCAGGGCCTGAGAGTATTTTTTTAAGTGCATAAAAGCTGAAATTGGCCAAAATATTTATGGAACTTCATCACACCGAGAGCAAACTTTCCTCTATTATCCTATACTGCAGAGATCCTGAAGTTCCTCAACACGAAAAACCATGGCGCAAGAATTATTGTATAGAGCAACATCTTTTGGTGTATAAATTATTCTTAACAATGGTGGTAGAAGCTTGGGGTGGAAGACTTTTTTTAGGAGAGTAGAGTAGGTGAGTTTATTGCCATATATACAGTAAATGTGCTCTCTCAAGATGACATAGTAGGACAAATAACACACCACAATGTAGACAGTACAAACATAATAAACAATAACAACCAGAACAATAAATATCCTGTAGAGAACAACACATATGTGGTAGTAAAAAAAAAAGACCATGATAGTCCATACAAAAGCGCAGTGAATATGTGCATTGCGTTCTGAGGCCCTGCAGTTAGTTAAGGATTTTTTAGAATTAATCTGTGATCATGACCAGAACTTGGTAGTGCTCTAGAATTCGTCTGCGATACTAATTGGAAGTGAACAGTCCGTTTGGATCAACCAGACAAATTTAACAAAAGATGCATTTTAGAAACTAAGTAAGAAGTAGCGGACTATTTCACAAGCATCTGTGCGCTTCCACTGAAACTGGAGAGACATCCGAAAATGATGCTTTGGATTGCGTTTGAAGGCAGAGAATAAGGAAGCGATGACAGTGTCTGAGAAATAAGCTATCCAAACTGGTGATGCTTCTTTATCAGTTCTTTCCAGAGGTGCAAAGAGTTTTATTAAAAAACTAAAGAACGCAAATCACCACTATATTTATCTTGGGGAAAACGGAACAAGCTACCCAAGCATGTACTGTGACTTTTTTCCAATGGCTAGAAAAGATGTTTTGAGCAATTAGCAACCAGATGGCCTCCATCTGCTTATAGCCTTTCCTGATTTAATATTTAAGTGCATTATATTCAGTAATGATTATACTTCTAAGAATCAGTTTAAATCTCTCCATCCCTTTTACATGATTTCTGATGTAAACAGTGCCTCAGAATAAAGTATCCTGTGTGTAACTGAGATTTTACATGGTCCTCATTTTCTTGGTCCTCATCAATAAGTTGCTTTGTGCAGGAATTCCTTTTCCAAGTTCTGTTAAATGCCGTCCTGTCAGGATGACAAGGATAATACAATTCTTCTTGCTGTCTTACTTAGTGACTCCTTAGATGACACTTACTGTAATAACTGTGTAAAAGTGCCTGGTGGGAATAGCAGGAAAAAGGGAAAAGGATGAGAAAGCCTGTTTTCCGTACTGCTGCAGCCGGGCTCTGTAAAGGTTCCTCTGGAATTTGTATTCTGTTCTTTCATTCACGTTATTGCATTATGAAGCACTTTCTCACAGAGGAAGCATCTAGTCCTTTTTTCATTTAATTAGAAACCAGGTCAGGCAAAAAAAAAAAACTTCTTTCCTGAAATGCCATTGACGGTTTGCAGACACTAATGTTGATGTGATTAAAAGACATTAGTTACTCCATTTCAGTTCCTCCAACTTTTTTCCTATTCAGTTTTACTTTTTCTGCCAGCCCTTTTTATGCCAAGCCAGCATCCAGTCACTTTCCCACGACCAGAAAATCTAGGCCTTTCAATACACATCAACCCCACTCAAACTCAAACACCCGCTGCCTCGGAGAAACTGACTGGAGTTCGCAAGATGCGTGAGCAGAGCAGTTAACACAAAACATACACCTCATTTTCTGCACCACTTAAATTTTATTTTGTTTTTTGTACTTATTTATCACACTGCTTCCCAGAAACCCAGTTTGCAACTGCTTTAGCCAAGGCAGAGTGGTGGGGGAGCCGGAGCCTATCCCAGCAAGTAATGGGATACACTCCGGACGGAATGCCAGTCCACCGCAGGGCAGGGCAAGACACACACACACCAGGGCCAATATGCCCAGGTGTGCCCTACCAGTAACCTACCAGTTTGTCTCTGTACTTCGGGAGGAAACGTACAAACTCCACACGGATAGCAGCCAGGACTTGAACCCAGGACCCCAGCCTGGCAAGGTTGCAATGCTACTGGACCATCATGCTACCCAAAATACTGCTTTCCTTTCAGCTAAACGATCCAATTGTCATTGCACACATAAAATTCATCCTAGGAGACTAGGGACAATTAAATACTAGAAGATTTGTACCTTTGGAAGTAGCACATAATTTGACAGTCACTGTTATAATGCATTTCAATATTTATGTTATTGCAGGTACACAAGGCACATTGTATGGACACGGACTTACATTTTTTAAAGAAATTGACACGCCAACAAATTATTTTATAATGTGTTTATATAGAATATGTATTTACAAGAGGCCAACATAACAGCTTTTGGATATAAATAAAAAAAGATTTCTAACTCTAAAGTGCTGCTGATTCAGCAGTCCCTTTAGTTACATTATACATTATAAAGTATACCATCCAGCAAACAAAAATACTTTCCTCTGTATTATAAACCATAAGCCATTTGTAATGGCCAAAAGGGAAGACAAAATAAGAATACACACTGCCTCGTATTTTTGCCACATCATGGATAAAATACATTGAGATTTTAGTGTTTCGACACGATGTTGGATGCATTCATCCTTTTCGGTCTGTTTCATTTTGATCACATTTGCATCTAGAATTCATATCATTTCAAAATAAAAATACATTGAAAACATGACTTGTCCATGGTGTAGATGGCTTTTAAGCCTGAGGAATACCTTACATTTTCTCACAGGTACTTTTTCCAATTCGGACCAAAGCTCTGGGAACGGGCACTTCAAGAAAAGTTGGGAATTCTTTTTGCTCTCCTGCAGAGTCACTTCCCAGGAACCTGTGGGTCTCCAGCCATATGATTCTCTGAGGTAGATTTCTTTACATGATGACATTGTATGAGACAAAAGAACTTACTAATTCCGATAGAGAAACGCTGCAGTTTGGTGTAAAGGCACAATCTTTCTGTGCATACTGTATATATATTGCAGAAAGCACACGCAGGTGAAAAAAATAGTCTGAGCAAGATGTTACAATATTAAAATTAAACATTTTTCTATTTCTTATTGGCCATATTTAAATCGCATACAAAAAAAATGACAAAAATAGATAAAAGCAAACTTGATTTTTTTTCTAAAAACGTGCAATAATTATTGGGACAAACATCTTTGTTTTTAATGATCTTTTCCAGTCACTGGTATTCAATCTCCCCACATACTTTTTTTCTTTCAGAAACCAAAAACGTAGCTCTGTTCCTACCAGGACAAAGAAAACAAAAGACAGAAAAGTAAAGCAATTCTCACCCACCTATTTCATTCTACCTTAAAACTTAAATTAAATTCAATTACTCTCACTATGCTGTCTACAGGGTGCTATAGAAAGGAACATTTAATCTCAATTCTAAACCTTTGAAATAATTATAATTCCCCCCCCCCCCTTATTACTGCCAGGGAGTTCTTCAAAAACTAAATAAATAAAGGATTACATGGAATGTGGTACACTTGGACCAATTAAGGCATTTCTCAATGGCTTTTGTAAGAGGTCTGCCGCCTGGCATCTTGTCATCCGCTACAACTCGCCATGGAACTTCACCAGTGGTCTTAATTGCTAGTCCAGTAGTGTGTTGGAAAAATAGTTTCATGGAACTGCCTTACTGCACCACATGCAACTAACGAAATATGGGTTTGGTTACAGAAAAAGAACAGAATGGTTATGGAAACAAACTACAGAATCACTGTATTTCTTTGCCATTTTACAAACATGCTTTTGACACTACAGAGTGGTAATTATACTTAAGGACGTATCGGAAACTAAAGCATCTTCTGGTAGTGGCAGATGGAGGATAATGGTAACGAAGGGCTTGGAAGGCAACAAATTCCTCATTGGGTTTTCACCATAAGAATGCGATTTTCTAGTGCCAAATGCACACTTTTCTCTTGCAAAATAAAAAAACTCAACCTATAAAAACTTGATGCAAGTTACCTTCATGGAGCTCAGACTCTCTTATCTTTCTAAATAACATCGGCATTTTTTCTTGGAAAAAAAAAATCAAAATGATTCACCTGGCTAGCACAGCGAGCTCCCTTTGTGACCTGAAATGAATGCTGCTGTAGAGCAGCAGGATTCAATAGCTCACCTTGTGGCTTTCTCACATCTAACTACAGCTAAGCACTCAGCATCATTGACTCCTGCTCAGCCTGACCGAGCAAGTGGAGCTTGTGCTTAGCGATTGCAGTATTCATGGTCCACAGAAACTCCGGGAGATCACCCTTCAAAAGGACCTCCATTGGTACGAACTGCAGCACCTGCCGTTGGACGCCTGGCTGTGACGTTTCTGACATCACACTGTGCATGTCCTGCAGGAAGGCCACCAGTCTGTCACTAGGCAGCTGATACCCACTGCACAGCAGTACAGCAATGGTGCCCAAAGCGTCGGATGAGGTTGGACACCTGAAGCTGACGCACTGGAAGCAGAGGTGCAGAGCAAGGACAAGCCCGGCTGTGAAGCGGGTGAAAGAGGACAAGATGGGCAGAATGAACGACCCCCCGGCCTGCAGCTTGCGAAGGGAGCACAAAATGCACCGCAAGAATTCCTGCTGGTATCTCGGCTCCCCGTCGTGGAGGGTCACGCAGCTGGGAGCTGGGCAAGGTGGCGGCGCAGAAAACTCAACGCGCAGATGGCCGGTCTGCTGGGCACAAGAGCTCCCTACCACGAGGCAGTGGGCACCCTCTTCCGGAAGGGCTGCTGCTGGCTGTTCCTGGAAGAGACTGGATGCTTCTGACAGAAGGTGGTCAGTTGTTGTCACCACACATGTTCTACAGGGATTTCCACATGCTCCTCTTGGAGAGCCATTACCACACCTCGTTAACAAGGACTGCTCTAGAGCTTCATTCAGGTGGTTCAGCAATTCCAAATCACAGAAAGGTGAACTCCGGACCTTCGGTAAGGCTGCACCTTTTAAGACATACCAGGCTTCTATGTCGCAGTCTTCACCTGGGCCTCTCAGAATGCAGTCCTTGCCAAGATCCCCCGAGACATGCTGTTCGATCCAAGCCTTGTAGTACCCCTTCTCCACCTTTTCCTTCCAAGTAAGGGTCTCCAACTCCTTTCTTTCATTGAAAGACCCAACCTGCTTCCGGTGACCAAACAGCTTGCCATTCAAGCTGCAGCCTCGCAGGGCGGTTTTCGAGAGCCATTTGCTTCTGGGAAGGTACTGCACTCGATACCTTTGGAGGTAGAACTCCGCCGCGCAGTCCCTCAGCTGGCTCAGCCTCTGCTTCTGTTCCTCGCTCATCGAGGGGAAGAGCCGGAGGTTTTCCCTGATGGTCTGAATCTGGAGCTTGTGAAAGAAGGAGCAGACTTCCTTGTGCTGCCTAAGGAAGGAATCCGGAATCGAATGGTGAGGGAAGAGGGCTCTCCCGGCGATGTCGGGGCCAAAGTTGCGGATCATCTTGGAGAGCAAAGGCCTCACGGCTTCTTTGGCGGAATACTTCAGACAAACCACGTAGACTTCGGAATTTCCAGCCTTGCTCGTTGCCGGCTTGAACACGTGAACGGCATTGAAACAGCAGTTCAGAAGGTAGAGCAGGGAGACGGAGGAATGTTCGAACAAGGTGAACATCTTTAAAACAAAGGATCCTCCGCTTCTGAGCAGCATCAGGGCGCTGACAGCCTCGCAGTAGTGCAACGAGGCCACTAGGGCTTCCTGTTCATCGGGATTCCCCTGGCAGTCAAAGCTGCCGTCTGCCGTGACCAAGTCGATGGCGCGCATGTTGCTGGTGAACCTCTTCAGTTCCAGCAGATGCTTTTGGCTCATGATGTCTCCAGTGTCGTCAGAGCCGAAAAACCACCAGGGCAGAGTGCTGGCAATCAGGCGGTCATCCATTATCATCATGCCGTTGTCATTGGCCTCGTGGTAAGGGTTGAGGGTGTTGGCTGCCCACATCCAATCACAGTAGAGACAATTGGTCTTGAGGTAGTGATTAAGACTGGCTATGAAAGCCCCAGGCGCCTCGCAGAGATGCACCGAATTGAACTCTCCGCTCTGCAGCGCCCTCTGAGGAATTAAAGGAAAAGTAGCCAGGATTTCATAAAATTTGCACCACGCCTGTGTGCATATCTCAGCATTGACCGTCGTGCGCACGTGGGAGATGGCCTTCCCCGCCTTGTTGGTGAAAGAAGTGTGCTGGTGCCACTCTTCCAGGTTCTTGTCACTGAGCTGATCCTTAACCTGGTTCAGAGATTCTTTAAGGGCCTGCAGGCTTCTGTACTGCTGGGATTCATACTTCAAAGCTTCGTTGGGGTTTGGGATGCGCCACTCCCTGGAAGGGGGCTTATAATAGGTAACATTCTTGCTGAAGAGCTCCTTGATTTCGGCAAGAACATCCGGGCTGAACTTGTCAAGGTCGGTTTCCTTATCCGCACCGATTTTTTTTCGTACTCCCCGACCCCTGCTCATCTTCTTACAGCTCCTGCTGAAGCCTGAAAGGGAAAGAAGTAAAGCTTAGAATAAAACAAAATCCTTTCGTAAGCCCAAAGCCACTTCTGCTGTTTGTTTTGAAACTCTTACATCCTGCACCGTAGATGAAAGCTAAAATGAACGTTTCCATCAAAATTTGCCATCTCCTCCAGTTTGACGTGCTACAACAACAATTTAAATTTGATTTCTTATTTGTTTGCTTTGGCATTTTCTGAACCCACACACATTTCACACCTTTGAAGTCTGAGAATTAGGAATTCATGACGGTGCCGAAAAAGTGCTGAGATGGTGGAAAATGTACAATTCATTTTCATCAAGAAATGCCACTTTCTATCTACAAAAACTTCCAGTTCCATTCATTACTACTTAAAAGTTCAAAAACTTCCCAGACTTGAATGCTTAGTACAACCTTTAAGAATAGCACTACGGAAAAGGAATATAACTTCCCATCTCATGGAAGAAAAGATTAAAAGTCACATGTGGTTCATCTTAGAGCTGTCCAGCCAAAAGTTGTCTGCCTGTATTGTCTTTATGTGGATTGCAGCACAGTTGTTAACCCAAAAATAATTTGCCAGCATGAAGGCCTACTCACACCTGGGATGCTGTTATTCCAAACTACTGCAGACGAAGCCAGCCGTAGTATTAATACTCGTTACGTTCAGACGAGCATTAATCAAATGTTCATTTTCCTAACAAGAGGCCATATTTCACATGGACACGGTTTTTTTGCGCATTTACACATTTACGCGTTTAAGAAAATTCATGCATTTAGAAGTCCTTAATTAAACGTAGATTTTACGACAAGAACGTATATTTTTTTGTTTTTAGACAGCAAGTGTAGCAGTTCTAAACACTGTAACACGCAGTCTGGCACAGTGGGTCGTCAAAGCTATTTTTTTATCTTAATATACTCAAACCGAAGTTAACTCAACCGCAAGGGAACGAGATCATGACTGTGGACTTTCAGCATGTCAGTGTTTGTTTAGGTGGATATAAGCATAATTTTTACAATTAATTTAATTATGTTGTGAGTGTATGTACTACGATGTTATTTGCGTTAAATGCTTGGAGACACCGATGCGTAAGAAACTAATGAGAGGACTGTCTTAAGGATGACAATTAAACACACCCAATGCCAATTTTAAAAATTACTATAGCAGCTGTGCTGTCTCCCCTTGCTTTTTTAAGTTTTCTTTTCTTGAAGTGCATTCTCAAACCAGCTCGCTCGGTTTTCAGCGTCGGGTTATCCGCTGTAAAAACAACCCACCGGCACGAAGAAACGGACAAACGAGAAGTCGGAACACTTCAGCCGGACGAACGTTTCAGGAAAACACGGGGCTTTACACCGGGCCTGGTCATAAAATAAGAACGAAAGAAACAAACGCCAACACAGAAAGTAACTACATCACTAAAAGAAGAAAACTGATGACTCTGTAGGAAAACTAAACCATACCCTGGTGAAACCGAGTGCACAGCAGACCAAGTACCTGCGCCTCTAACTTCACGGGCCTTTCTTCCGCGTTGCAACACTGGCGCACAGCTACCGACTGGAGTGTCACAGGGGGTGTGTGTATAACTACCCGAGTCACACCGCACTTTGTAAAACACTTTTACAACACTTTTCATTTACATATGTACGTGGTTCTTACTATTTATATTACGGTATTCAGAATATACAGTTTTGCACCAAGAACTTACCCATTATTTCTGTTTCTGTGATGATTTACTATTTTTCAATGCCATGTGAAGACCTTTGAAGCTCGTGGTATATAAAAAAAATAATATTTTTGCAAACGATACACTAATAGAAAATGTGCTGTTTTACATTTGGACCCGTGTCACGAATGTAAGTATTTTAGGACAGTGGAATTAATTATTTTGTTACAAAAAGGATTTATTTCCCTAAATGAAAAGGGTCAATATATAAATTATTTTTTAGTCCTACTATAATATTATTTTAAAAGAAAAAAAAATAAAAGTATGCGAGCAATTGTGCAAAATGTTCTACCTTTGCTCCAACCAAGCGTACTGGTTGCTATGGAGTTGTCTCCTTATTTTAACCAATCACGAAGAAGAATATATTCATCGGGCGAATCACTGGGCGACTTATTGAAAGGCCGGCGAATTCGTTGTTATGGAAACTATTAAACAGAACTTCTTGAACGGAGGTGTTCATACAGGGCAACAGCTTTTTTTATTGTAAGTAAAATGTGGACTTAATACGTACAGATTTATTTGCAGCGGTATGTTTCGTAATGCCTAGAGTTACCGACGTGAATCAAGAATTATTTTTTTAATCACGCTACATCAAAATTATGTTTTTATCAAATCCAAAAATAAAAAATCGGAGTCTGTTCCACCAGTGATTTTAATCCAGATTTACATGCCAAAAAGTGGGTTTAATTGCAGGAGGTTTGAGATACAAGAATGTGACTTAAATTAAAGACAAAAATCAGAGAGAGTCTGGACACATTCATATTTTACCGTGGTGATTTTCAAAATAAGCTGTTTTTAAAAAAAACTTTAAGAAATTGTTTCATTTTTCAGTCTTAGCATTGAGGTGTTTCGGCAACTTGGTCATTTGTAATTCTGGTAACCTGTGAAGGATGAAGAGTATAATATATTTTAAAAAGAGAGTAAAGTTATCTTTAACTTAGTCATTCTTTTTACATTCTGATTTTAAAATGCAAAAAAGTGTAGCGATCGTATACCATTATCTAAAGGTAAATTTCGAAGTATAAATGTAATGTTAATTCAATTAACTAATTCTCGTTTATTTTTATCCAGTACTACTGTGATTTGTAGAATGCAATGAAGAACAAAAATGAAAATTCACTTATCCTTTTTTGATTTCATTACGTTATGTAACGTCACATACTGCAGATATCATTACCTAACTGCCATCAATTTAAAAGTAATCTAAGAAAAAGTTTTCTCGCTGAATTTAAACTTGTTAACGATATAAAGATCATTTTCATTTACGTTTGAAACAACAAAAAGTTTATTGCACATCGGTTAAATTGATTTTCCAATCATCTGAAGCGGGACCTGTATTTGTCCTGAAATAAACATAAAAAAACCTTTTTTGGACCATTTGTTTATATTCTAAAAATGTTGTCTAGTATTTAAGTGACTGAGCTTTGTCAGATATTTACTTCTAGTCAGTTATTATTGTTTGTTGAAGGGCACCTAATACACTCACGTTCTCTCATGCATGTTTGATTTGTCAGGTAATGTGATAAAAGAAGGGAGCACAATTCACAATGCTGACCAGTAAGGCTCTGGGTCCACCCATTAATCTGCAGAGCTTGTCTCCAAAGATGCCTGAAGGATTCAAAAGCAAAGTTGTGGCCCCTCGTAATCCAAAACTTGTAAAACAACAAGACAAGCACATCAAGGTACAGTATGTGCACTCTATGCACGTTTTCCAGTTCACTCTAATATGTGTGATCGCAAAAGCTTTTAGATGTGATTACCTCTTTACTGTCCACCTGTTTCCACAGCATCATACAGCTTCAGGCAAACTACTGGCATAAGCTCTTGATATTCTTCCTGCTATTTGTGTCCAGCAGACCTAGTCCTGCCATTATTTGGTCAGATTTCCCAATGGATTTTTCAAGAACTTGAAAACAAAGACTTGTTCAGAGATAAGTTTCGCTGGTGTTAAGTTACATGCAGGAAAGCTTACACTAGATATACCAAGTACATTTTAGTTCAGCAATGGAGGTTTGCTGATTGTATCAAGATCCCAAATGGGACTCAAGTGATGACATCAGAAATATGCTAAAGTCTGCAGAATAGTTTCAATGCAATCGAACATTCTGTATAACTGGCATGTGAAATACTTTCAGCTTCATTCTGATGTATATTGAAATTGCTAAAATTCAATATCCTTTCTCAAAGTGAAGGTATGATATTCAACTGCACCTTTGCATAAATTTGAGAAATTAGGTATCTGAATGAAAATGATTTTATTGCAAATGTTGTATGCTTTATTCTTCTATGAGAAAATGCTCATATTGTTGCTAAGAACATTGCTTTAAAAGCCTGTTCCCTCCAAAATAGAAAAAAAGCCTGGTATTCTTAAGTTGCTTTAAAATAATGAACAAGATAGGATTTTCTTAATACAGAAATAACCAGCGGGTATTAAAAATTAAATGTATTTTTTTTTCTATTTCATTATTAATTTATATTTTAAAACAAACCTATTCTGTTTTGACTACAGAATAAGTGCATTTTGGTGTTTTGCCTGCTTGAAGAACACATGAAGAGATACAGTATTCCCACTTGAGAGAAAGGGAAACAAAACCCGCAGTGCTAATTTAAAGGCTGAAAAAACATTATGATCTAGAAAAATGATATAACGTTGCCTTATCTTAGCCTTCCATCTTGTCTGTTAAATACTGTACCTAAGGAATTTTCATGTAATCCTGGATCTAATTGGTTAGTCATCTGCATATAAATAACCTCAGCTCTATCAGGAGTTCTGTTTTTAATGTTTTATCTTTTGTTGTGTTTAAATCCTCTCTCTGTTGAAAAGATCAGTATTGATCCAACCAACCTATTCCTTTTCTATTTTGAAAATGTAATGTTTTTGAGAAAGGCTTTCTTATGCAGTGATGTAATGTACTGTATAATTTTCATATTAATCTATTTATAATGAAAATACTGTAAAATGAGAATTTGTTTTGAAAGGCAGGATTGAATTATGAGCACAGGTCTGTTTTATAACATAATAGTGTCTTAGTTTAGGTGAAATTTGTTAGACATGGGATATGTTTGCATTTGATTATTTCACAACTAAATGAGAGCTTGACCAGGTATTATTGCATAAAGTATATATTTTTTTACTTTATGATATCAGATTATCTCGGTAATTTTATTTCATTTGGAAAAGCAAGAAAAGAGGAAGTTACAGTACATTAATGATCTACACAAGTAGATCCCTGTGGCACGATGTACACTTAACACTGTGCCTATAGCCTTCAGTGGATGCATGTGAAAGTCTGAAAGCATGCTGGTTTGGTATCATCTTTCCTTTTTTTAATTTCAGATGACTCCATCTGCGTTTATAAAAGAAATGGCTTTAACTACAGAACAGCGGCTGGCAAACACATATGAGATGAACCCGCCTCGAATTATTGAGCTCCTAGATATGAGCGAAACCACTCATCAGAAGGTAAAGCCTGTGCACACATCCACACACCATAGTGTTAGATAGTGTATCCTTGCTCGCTGCCACACACGCCCTCATGAATCACGCCCGAAGAAGCATCAAATTAGGTCTTTACTCTACAAGTACTACGGTGGTATGTACTGGTCATTTTGCCATGTTGAAACATTATATCTTGCTTATCTAGTTTATCCCCAGAAGTTGATTTCATGGGAAATAAGAGGGAATGTACAATACACTTATGATTTGTGGTCATCCCATATAATATCCACATTTCACAATGCATGGTGACTCATATATATTTCAGTATAAAATATTTATTGTTATCTTGATATAAAAGGGCCCTCCCCCACACAGACTGAAACCTAGACAAGGGAGGTGCCATTGCTGCACTTTCTAAATCTACGTATATGTCAATTCTAGCATATGCACTGTAACTGTTTAAATATATTTAAAGGATGCTTCGTTTAAAATGCTCCCATTTATTCGTTCTTGTTCCAGATTTTTCCTGATTTATCAAACTCTGTCTCATTCCTTTATCGTCATTTTGATAGTCTTCCTTCTAGTACAGTTATTCCTCACTGTAATGAACGCACTGTATGATTCTTCCCCAGCACAGTCAAAGAGCTACCTCACTCTCTGTCTGGCACAGAGGAGAGGCGTCTGTTTTGTGGTTTGCATTGTTTCTCCATGTGTAAGAGATAATGATGCACTTGGTGTCATGCCTAGTTACAGCAGCACTCCTTCTGCACTAACTATGGGGTTAACAATTACATGCCACTTGGGAAATGGGTCAGTCTGGCAGCAATCTTTCTGCTTCTCTCGCAGATGTTTTGGTATAACTCACCTCCGAGATGAACTGGATATGATGTGATTGATCATATGAGTATATCGCTTCATTTAATATTTCGATGTACGTGCAGTTTCCTCCTGGGTGAGAGTGCTGTTCAGTCCATTGTAAAAACCTACATGCAAGAGAGTGAATGCCTGGCTCTTAAACATCACAGTCATTTCTGTGTTATGATGGGGCTGGGATGAGGACTTTAATTTGTTTTCTATGGGATCAATTAATTATTGCTAGCTGGAATTGTATTTCTTTTCCTTTTTTAGATCAAGAAAATCATGTTAAAAGGGAGCTGCTGTCAGCTTTTCTAACCTGCTCCTGTCTGCCTGGTTAGAATGTGCGTGGGCTGAGTGTACGCCTGAAGCAGTTGGAAACAGATGAATGTGGCTAATTAAATAAAACTGATTTTATGAAATGGAAAAAGGAAGTCTATGTGTGTGTTCGGGGCTCTCATCTTGAGGTTTTAAATTAGTAATATCAGATTCTGCGATGTTAATAGAAAGGCTTTCTTTTCCATTGGCTGATGGGATTAATGGCCAAGCTTTGGAAGTACTGCTGAAGCGGAAATGATGGGGAGCAACAGTGAATGGGAAATGATGAACTGATAAAGCCAATTGTTTCAGCACTGGGATTCCAAGTGTAACCCAAACAATTGAAAGGGAATTTTCTTCTCGGCTCTCTTTTCGCTCAGTTCAGCAGTTGGTAGCAGAAACTGTGATTAACTCCATTCATGTAGAAGCTATTCGTTTGTAGCATTTTATCTTCACAAATGATGGACAGCTTAAATAGTACCTTTACAATTATTCCATCTCCAGTGACCGAGCAGTCACGTGAAACAGTGCCACTACTTTTGAGCACAATGAGTTATTTTTTCCAATTACCTAAAAATTACTTCTGCAAATGAATGTCTAATAATTATTAATTTTCAATTTGCAACTTGCGAACTCAAAATGAACAACTCATTTTAAGACCATTCTGGCTACATTTGTAGAAATGAAAATAATAATTTGGGCGATATGGTAGCTTGGCTTTTCCTTTAGCATTGCTGCATCACAGTTCTTGGGTCCTGGGTCTGATTCTAGCCTGGGTGTCTTCTGTGTAGAGTTTGCATTTTATCCCTATGGCCAAATGGGTTTATGTCATCGTACCGATTTCCTTGCATAGTCCAAAGAGACACTAAATATGTTTATTGTTGTCCCTTAATTGCCACCTGAATGTGTTTGTGAACATGCCCTGCAATAAGCTAGTGTACCGTTAAGGGTATATCCTGTTTTGTACCTATAGTCTGCCAGGCTCACTGTTCAACTCACCGTTGAACAGTGTTGAACACTGTTGAAATATACAGCTATTTATACAGCTGATAAAATAGTGTGCATTTGCGTAAAAAAAGTATCAACTTTCATTTTACTGAATTATATATACATCTCAATCTTGGAACAGAGAGATTGTTGCTGGACTGAAAGATGGTATATGTGGCTCTTTTTTAATTTCTGTTTGAATTCTTATTTTTAATTAGTTTTCAACAGTGGACATAGACCAGGCAATGTTCCAGCCATTTCCATCAGAGATCGTGTTTCAGAACTACACTCCCTGTGAGACATATGAAGTGCCACTGGTCCTCAGAAACAATGATAAGGTGAGTCTTGCAGACAGTTGTGCTGGGAGAGAACTCTCTGACAGGCTGCATTGTGATGCCACAGTGCAGGGCCTTCTCATACTGTATGTAATAAGCAGATAACAGCTTTCATGCAGTTGGGTAGGATTAACTCTGATATCTGCAAAATGGCACTGCATAAAATACATGGGGGTTCATAGGCACATCAATTCTAGGAGTTGAAGTTTTTATTACAATACAGCTGGTGCTATCAACAGTAAACATTACAGATGTTCGATTAATATAAAGATTGTGTGGGCTTATAGACATTTGTATGTATGAAGGAATCCATTTTTTACAGACTTATTTTGAATGCCCAAGATAGTATTCTTTATCCTTTTAAACTGGTATCATCAACTGTTAGTTTATGTCACTTTAAGTTATTTATTAAATGCAGGGGTGGTACCTGTGTATTTTTATGTATGCTTGAGCACTCATCAACTATCCTTCTTTTAAGAGTCTTTCTTTATATGTTATTTTTGTGCAAAGTCAATATACAGTATGATTTAAAACATGGTACCATACCATATCTGTTCTGTCACCTAGAAATTAAAGACCCATTTTTTTCACAGAAGACATAAACTCAGCCCCATGTATTTAGGTTTTATTAATGCATTTTAAACAAAACCTGTCTTAAAAAAGGGAATGAAGTAAAAACCCCCTAAAAAATAAATTTGAACTTGCTGGAGACATAAGAATATTCTAAAACTGTGCATTGTCTCCAGTGATCATGTACATGTTGTTGGAAAATAAACATGTACATTGTTTGGAAGAAGCAAATATGTTTATATGTTTTATTCTGTACAGTATAAGATGGCTGACTGATCTGGATCAAAGTCTATCACTCGTATATTAATATTCCTGAGGTGATACTTTCACACAAACTACTTGTGTTCATCCATATTTAGAACATGCAAAAGAGCCTCATTCCATTTATGATTGCAGCAGAATGAAAACATTAGAAGTGTTTATAAAAATGTCCACAGGTTTGAAACTTCAGATCTTGACGTGGAGTCCATTATTAACTATACAAATGTTCTGTATTGAGTTATTTAAATAGCTTTCTATAAATAAAAGGGTCAGTGTTTGCAGCAGAGGATTTGGGGAATTTAAAAACATTCCTGATCCTGCTGCTCAGGAGAGAGCTTCCATCTGCCGATAGAGCAAGAAGGAGTTGGCCATTGCAGTCTCCTCACACAGGAAGGCTTGTCATGTAGACAGATGATGGAGCAAACTCTGAATGGGAAACTGGCATATAAATATACAGCTCCTGTTAAAGCAGCCACAGCACAATGAAATGACTCAGCAGTGCTATTGCTGCTAAAATTATACGATTTTTTTTCCTTATTTTGCCCAGAAGATATCTGTGTTTTACCATAAAACCTGTTTCTCTATTCTTCCACGGATGTCTTCCGAATGATGCAGTCATTTTGTCTGCAGTTCTCATTCAAGTTGAATTTGATTTTGCTTTGAATTTCAGAGATGTCAATTAACAAGCGATTACGTTCTTTCACTGGGCATGCTAATCTCTGCAGATGCCCTGGGTGCCTTCAGTGGTGTAGAAAAGGAACGCGTTTCTGTGTGATGTGACAGCATGCACCACTTCCTTTATCTTTGGTGACAACTGCTGTGGGATATATTTAAAGCCCACTAAGCTTTTGTTTCCTTGGTCATAGGTTTCTTTGTAATCACTCCACCTGGCCTCTGACAATTTATTTAGTTTCTAACAAACAAACCAAATCCTGCTTGCTCTCCCTTGACAGCATTCATAAAAGTTGTCATGTTCTTTTTTCCAGTATTGATTCTCTTTCAGCCTTACTTTCACAACTTCACACTACCCGTCATGATTTATTTCTTCAATAGGAGCATCGCTATTGAGTTGTAGTTGCAGATTTTCCTTATTTAAACACTCAAGCTAATTGAAGTTGATAGTTCTTCTTCAAGCGTAGCCTAGCTTTTACAAGAGGAAGCAAATCTATTTTTGCTCCTGTATAATATCTAGGGGGACTGCATCTGCTGATTGTTTGCCTGACATCACTTTGACATTGCAGTATTTAACCAGAAGATAGATTCCATACTTTACTCCATACAGTTTATTATTCAGTTTAAATTTTTACAAGGCTTGTGTGAATGTTTTGTTTTAATTTAACAATCATCATTGATGTTATATATTTTTTTTCGTTTTTGCGTTTATACATACAGTAGCAGTTTTCTTTTTTGAGATATATTTCTATATCAGAAGGCTTTGGAGTTGTTCTTTTTACCCCATGCTCTTAAACTGAGGTTTGTGTTTCTCTTTGGTTTAGATTCCCCGTTTGGTCAAGGTTGTTCAGCAGGATTCCCCATACTTCAGGATCATCAGCCCCCTGGATGTCTGCAATAAAGTTGCACCAGGCATGGCCTCCACATTCACCATCCTCTTCACACCAGAACAGAACAAGGTATTGTAGCCTATCTCAGTGGGACAGAATGAATGATTTCCTACATATGCTAGGATGTAGCCTCCCTTGTACCGTTCAGACATCACTACCACATAAGGCTCAGTTTTGTGTCAGATTATGCAACACAACGGTCTCAAAGGTTAGTGTTCATAAAATTAATCAAGGCAGAAATTAAACTCAACCCAAAACAAAACCCAGCCCAGAACTGACTGACTCATTCTCCTGGATCTGTAATCAAAAGATTTGTGTCGCATTAATGAAATCTAGTGTTGAAAAGGTTTTTTTTGAGGCATCCAGACACTCCACAGTGTTTATTTAGCACCTTGCAGAAAATCAAAATGCACCCATTTTACTGGCAACAGTTTAAGGACTGTCTGAGCTTGTACCCTTTCAAATGCTGATTTGCTCAATTAGTATGAAACAGAATCCTTTTTGTATAGATTATTCTGATGTGTTGAAAGGGCCCGAACACAATATTTAATGTAGTGGTTATCCAGAGGGAAACAGGCTTCTGAAGTAATGTTTTTTATGGTTGGTGACATCTCAAGCTCACACAAAAAAAGTAAAAAAGTACAGGAATTAAAAAAAGTCAATTGTATGCTAGAGAGGAGGAATTCCACACAGAAATGAGTCATGATTTAATATTGCTTTCTATGCTCTGATATAAATTTGTTTATATATAAATTATATTTAACTGATTATATGATTTGTCAGAGTAATTTTATGCACCTGAATTAATTGAGGTTTGTCATAATAAAGGGGGTGAGTACTTATTTGATCAAAACATTTGAATTCTTGATTTTTCTTTGGAGTTTGACTTTTACTAACTTCTTCCTTTTGAACACTTTTAATTAAAAGTATTCACTTAAAAACATGCATACATACATTATAATTAAAACATGGGAATCAGTGGAAGGGGGTGAATATTTTTACAAGGCACTATGGATATGTTTCTGCATGTCTAAAGACCTTTTTTTAACCTAATGGGTGTACTGCCATTCATTTTGTTAAATGATAAGTCATATAGTGCTAATAAATTAGCTTGTAAAATAATTTAATAGAAAAATTATATGCTAAAATTATTTGTAGACAGTGAAATTTTAATTCTTATGCACGCAGTATTTTTCTTCAGTGTTTATCAACTTTTAATACATTATTCAGTGTTATAATACTAACAGACATTGAAGGAAAATGCTTTTAAGAAATGATGGTGTAAACCAAGGAATTCATTTGTAATGTCATTTTCGGTCTACAAGCATTTAATATGCAAAGATTTTCAAGCTTTATTTTTTCAGTAATGACAGTATAATAGAAATGAATGTCAAAGCTTGTTTCCCTGTTAATGATCTTATAAATAATAACCGCAGCAGAATTTGTTTTAATAACCAAACTCAGTATTGGATTTTCTACACCCACACCATCAGTTTTGATCATCAGATTTTCAATATCTTGTTTTCAAATCACTTGTTAATCTAGTTCAGACTCTTTGTATATATTATTAAGATCAGCGTAGTTCACTACATTTTAATCCAATGAAATGCTGGCATACAATATAAGATAATCATGAATTCAAGTCATTTGTATGAAGCGGAGCAAATTGCTTTCTCCAAGTCATCAAAAAAAATAGCTTTTGTTGGATTGTAATGAAATACAATTTCAATTTCCTCTGAGTTCCTTTTTGTTTTACTTTATTATTTATCTCCATTAACTCTTGTTTGTATTGTGGTGTTCTGTAATACGAGTGCTTGATCAATGTGGCCTGATGGGTTACCTATCATTGCAGAACAACATTTTTTTTTCTCACTGTCCAGTCAAGAATTAACAAGCACATTTTTTGTCCGGATAATTGTTATAAAATACTTTGTGTGTGTTTTCTTTCTATGTGATATAAATTTAACTCTGTGTAATGGCAATATGATTGCCCAAATCAGTATTTAATCAGTATGTATATACTGTAGTAACCTGCTGGAATCTATACTCCTGAGCAAGGTCACCAGCCAGTAGGGGGTACATTTGCTGCAGAAGACTGCACAAGGTTTTTCAAGACTATTAATGAATAAGCCAGCTCTCGCATTACTCTGATAGTCCTCTCTCCTGGCAGGATTATTCCCACAAACTGGTCTGCATCACTGAAAGAGAGAAGTTTGAGGTGCCAATACGGGCCATTGGGGCACGGGCGATCCTGGACTTCCCTGATCACCTAAACTTCTCCCTCTGCCCAGTGAAGTTCTCCTCCCAGAAAACACTGCTGGTGCGAAACATTGGGAACAACGAGGCCAGATTCCAGCTCAGCACTGAGAGGTATGGAAGAAGAAACGTGCTCTGCCTTCAAACGCTGGAACTCCTTCAAGCGCTTTGTCACGTTACCGTCTTCACAGCATTTTGAAGAGTTTAATCTAAAAATTGATTTGCAAGCTACAATAAGCGGTTTAATTCCATATTCAGCAGGATCTGATACTGACGTGTGGTTGTACAGTATATGGTGAAACATATTAAAACATTCTAGTCTAAATGGCTTGGGATCTGTGCAGAAGACAGAGCTATCAGCAGCGATGTCTGTGGTTTGTTTTGTGTTCGGGTGAAGGGAGATCACCTGACAAGAAGCTGATTGGGGCAGGGTTCATGCTTGGACATGCACCTGCAGAGATGCATTCGTGTTTATGTAAACAAGACACTCTAGCAGTAAGCCCATTTAAACCCTTGGGCTTCCTACACTGTAGTGCAGTCTTGGACCATTTTCACACCCTCTGCTTGCCATTGCTATAAATTGTTATCTCAGCAGGGGATTTCAATTCAACACTTCAGGTACCTAAACGTAACACTTGCATGTTGCTTTAACTTAGAATTGTTTCCTTTTTTATGATTGCCTCCCCATCTTCAACATCTGAGATGACAATGTTTTTTTCTATGAGAAGGAATTCCTTTAAATGTGTATAGAATTGTACATTTTAATAGTGTATTCCAGAACATTAAAATAATTCTCATATCACGAGCATGTTTTTTATTCTGAGCTTTTTTTAACATGCATTTGCTGTATTCAGTCATATCTAAAGAACATCAAAAAGTAGAATGCACAGGTTTCAGATGGATGTCTGTTTTGCAGTAATGTTACATTTTTTTATAATGTTTTACCAACTGATTAGATCGTTTAGATAAAGTGCCAATCCAAACCTTATGAACTATTTAACCTTTAACTGAAGAAGATTTAATTTAAATGATTTCATTTTTGGCGTGTTGGGTAATGTAAGAGAAAAAAAATGTTTTTATTGTATTTTTAATGTACTTGTAATACTGTATGGCAGAATCACAATTTTTCGAATAACACTGAATGGAAACTAACTGACACCTTAATTTAAAAACAATATTGTGAGAAAATTGAAGAGAAAGAATATTATCTGAATCCCTAACAACATCAATGTATTGGATGGATCTGTATATTATTCTACACTAGGTGGTGGTAAAATATTTTGTTGATACAACAAACAAACACTTAATTTTCTATCAGTCTGAAAGACCTTTAAGCAGTTTGTCATTAACAAATTAAATCTTATAAAATGTGCCTTCTTATATTGTTTTGTATTTACGCCATGATGTATTTATGAGTGTTCAGAGGTTACTCTGTGGTTAGTTGGGCTGGTATGTGGAGATGAAAGGTCAGCAGTGTCTTGGGGGCTCTGGCTGATGTAACCCTCTTTCAGAACTACCCTGTTTTTAAAAGATTATTATGCTGAAAAGAAATTGGAAGAGACAGTCATCAGCTACAAAGGTTCTGAAATGCTTTGCAAAACCCCTGTCCCTCGCTGTTGAATTGACAGATAAATTATTTAGAAAAATATTTTTTCTATTCATGCTCCAGATAACCAGTGGTATTGAATTCTTTCAGTACATGGCTTCAGATATGAAGAAAGTGAACCACTAACAATACTGTTTACTGAATCATTTAAAATCTGTTGATAACAAATCTGAAGCATTATTTTCTGCATTATTTTCTTTATTTACAATATAAAAGACAAGCCGTAAAATGTAGCCTGTATTAATACTTGGTGTATATTGAAGGTGCGGTTTATTAAGGTTGTGTGGTGCTCTAGTTCTGTGTGTACTAATTACTAGTGAATTCTTTAACTGAGCAGAGCTGTGTTTTAATCGCTTGATCTGGCCTAATCACCTTGCAGCCCATTCTCTGTGGAGCCGCACTTGGGAACACTGGGAATTGGAGAGAGCACGCAGTTCACCGTGAGCTTCTTTCCCAAGACGGTGGGAGATCACTCCCAGGACCTCGTATTACACTACGACACAGGTAGGTCTAAAAGCAACCGTAACTTCAGACCCACCAATGTGTTCCTGTGTAAATATACGTAGAATATGTTAGAGGCTTCAGTCTCTAACCCAAAACAGAATCTCAACCCTAGCCTTCTAACTCCAGCCTAAACCCTAAGGCTAATCTCAAAATCACATGCCAGTGTACCATACTTCGGTTCTTGTACAGAGAGCAACCTTCCGTGAACAAATTCCATCCTATCTATTGATTAGGAACAGACAGATACAGTTTTGGTTGAAGCATGTGCGACTTTGTTTTGTCCAGAATGTTCATCTCATTGTACATAATATTATATAACTCACAGATGATATCCACCTTTCATTGTTTCAGTGTACAGGACATTAAGAAGCAGTATTTATTTTCTTGTTTTGCTTGAGTTGAATTTGTTTTTTACACTGTAAAGGACAGCATGTTCAGAATCCTCCACTTTATTGCATTATTGGTCCTCATTACCAATTACAATAGAAAGACAATACTGTACATGTAATTACATGTTAACAGGATCTGAATCTTTAAAAATATATAAAATAGTAGAGGGCCTGACTGCACCAGTGTGCCACCACAAATGTAAAACAATCTAAAACATCAATAATACACAAATTTTCTTTCATTCTGTGTTTTCTCTGTTATGTCCTGTTGCTTATGAAGTACTACAGTGCCTCTGTAGCCTGATCCTATGCTGTCTAAGCACTCTGATAATGATGTGTTGGATTAAGCTGGTTTCTTTCCAAAAAGAGCAAAACCCCACCATTGTTAAACTACTGTAACGCATAAAAGCAGTAAAATGTCTATGTAGTAAAATCCGTCAATGCCTTGTGAAACAGTTTATGTTTAGGAGACGATTTCCAGATTCAATGTTCAGAAGTCTCCCACTACATTGCCCTTATCCAATCAATCTGAGCTAATTTGACAACTAGAGTGACAATTTTAGTGTCACATCTTTTGGGAATCATAATGCCCATGAACAAGAAAAATAATCCATAAATACTGAAGCAGGAATTACCATGACTAGAGGAATTTACAATTTATATTACCGTCAGGAAATTGCATTTGTTTTAGCAGTGTTCGATTAACTGAAAGTTCATAGACTTAAAGACTGAATTGAAATGGCCTGTAATTAAAACAATTAAATTCACATAACGAATTCCTGGGATATTCTTTTTTATGTTAACAATGTTGGCCAGCTCAGTATGTAGCCCCTCAGACATACCTTATCGGGGATAATACATAGAGTGAAAAAATAATTCATTAATATAATCTATTAATAGCCATGCCTGGGATTTACAGCATTACCGTACTGTATGCTGTTGGAGATGTTTGAGTTATTATATTTTAGACTGCTAGCTTTAGATTCAGTTCAGTCAATACTCATTATTTGTTTTACCCTTGAGAGATGTGTTAATTTGCATAATCATATACGGCTTTCAAGTATTATTTCAATACCATATTAATAGCCGAGGCTCACTATACCCAAATGGCTAACATCATCAAGTGATGGCTCAGAATGTAGAGTAAACTCTTTGGTAATGCTCATATCTACTCTTTTTTCAGGCTTTTTCTTTTCATGTCCTCTGTGAACTGGGTGACACTTGCTAAATTAAAAAGCACAAAGGTTAAATAGTAAATAATTGCCTCAGTTTTTAAGTTGTTTTTCTGAATTTATTAAAAACAATAATTGGTCAGAATAATTGGTTCTCTTTTTATGAACCCACACTGGACAACTATATTCTGACTGGTTCTTCTGTTCATTGGTAGATTTTATCCTGTTCCCTAGAAATCATTTTTCAAAGCAAGAGGTTGAGGTTTTCAGAGGTACACAAAGGTAGACAATGGCAACAGCATCCCAGTAGGCAGGATCTGTTCTGAAAGGAGAAGAGAAATTCCTGCACCGACGATGAAGGAGGAAAAAGACACTTTATTTCTATTTGTTTTGTGTCAGTGTCTTTATGCTGTGTGTCATTTATGAAGCTGAATTGTGTCAGTGTAAATGCAAAGCAGCCGTGCATATACTGTATGTGTGTGTGTGTTCACAGTTTTCACTGTGGGCAAACAGCCAGTGTCATGTAGTATTATGAATTTATGGAGGTTGAAGTGATCATCTGTTGTTGTGTGAAGAAAGAATGCATTCCTGTGTGCGACTGTGTGCAGTTTGGCCCATGTGTGTCTTTATATGAGGTTGGCACTTCAGCTGTCAGTGCTGGAGTCTCTCTCCTTCATCCTCACAAAAGGATCTGCTGTACCCTTGCGTGAAAATACAGGTCTGCTGAAAGTTGGGAGCATTAAGATTTTATTGTGTTCTTTTAAAAAACACACTTCAGTCATGTAATAGCAGTATCGTTTTTAGTTTCCCCTTCTCTGATTTTTTAAGGTTAGGTGCTTTTAATATGACACACAGTTATGGTATAGTTGTTCCTAACAGTCCTAAGCCCTTTAATTTTAATTTAAGATCATTATTTTTATTTTTTATGAACTTGATATATAGTCTAATATAGACTAATAAGCTTCAAGGCTTGTTCCTAAAGAAAGCATGTCCCATACAGTATGTTGGTGTTAGTTGTGTAATTTGTTTGCTTTCAGTTTTGAACAGTATCTTCTGACTTCACTTGAATTTAATAAAATGCAGTTTCAGAAGAGAAGTATTCATCATTCATATTTTCTATCCAGATCAAGAAGGATCATAAGCTAAGAAAATATCAGGCTAGACATGGAAATCTTGGCCTGGGCTGAGAAATTCAGAAGTTCAGAAATCTGCTTTTAAAATATTATATAGATTAGTTATATAAATGTTATATATTTTTAAACTGTTTTTCAGTGTTAGATATTGTATCTTTTCAATACATTTTCGTGGGGGTAATTCCTGGTTTGTCTATGAGTTCATCCAGCTCCTTATCAGTTTGTATTAAAGGTCATTAATACTGCGGCTATATCACCCTGCAACTCACAACTGGTAACCCACTGAAGCTACAGCAGGTGTGAGCTTGGTCAATACCAGAATGAGAGACCTCCTGTGAAAGCTAAGGTTGCTGCTGGAAGAGGTGTAAGTAGGAACAGTAGGGGGCGCTCACCCTACAGTGTGTGTCCTAATGCCCCAATATAGTGATACACATTTATATCCTAACTAACCCCCTCTCGTTGGATATTTTATGAATGTATGAGTGTAGGTGCTGAAATGCTTAAGGTCTTTCATGCTAAAAGCAGTTCAGACTGTATATATATATTAGGATCTATGAAAAAAGAAAGTGAAAATGGATGGTTTGGGCATTTATTGTTTTGTTGGAAAACACCTCCTGGTCCCAGTACTGCAGCTGGGGAGGTGATGAGTGAGCATCAAGGGTAGCAGGGCCTCCCGAGGCCAGGTGTGCAGGTCGCCTTCGCCCCCATGGGCCTGCCTGAAGCAGGCAAAATGGCATAAACACCATAAAAGCTGTTCCCCACTTCTGCAAACCTGTTGATTATTAGCAAGGGAGTGATGCTCTGCCAGTTGGGCTATTAGCCATAGATATTGCATCACGTTGCTTTTTGAAATAATTTACAGTATGTTCTCATCAGCTTGTGCTTAGTTTGTAGACTTTCACAAAACTGCTGGGTCAGTCAGTTTTCAAGAATGACAGCTTCACGTAGACATGTACTGTACAGTAAATTATAACACAGCCTTTATCACAAACTATTTATCTGCATGATAAAGTGTAAGATATTCTCCACTGTCATGGGGAGACTTCCTGTGTATGTTGTACTTATTACTCTACTGTATATAATGTAGTGTAAAGGAAACACTCATTCTGGCGTTGCTTTATACTGTATGTGGAAGAGATTTATGTTATTTTACCTGAAGGTGAAAAAAGTGAATCTGTCTACAATTCGAAGGAGATAGGAGAGAATGGGAAGGAGATTTTTAAAGCTGTTGGAATTGCAGTAAAATGATTTCAAAGCCTAGCCAGTGCAATTTTGAAATGTACCCATACATTTGCATTAATTTTAATAATTTCCCTATGCTTTCTTTAGACAGCGCCTGTGCCTTTACATCACCTGTCTGCTTAGCCTTGTTTAAATACTCTATGCCCACATTGCGGCACAAAGGAAAATGGGGAATGTTTTGACAGGTAGCAGATAAAGTTGCTCAATCTCGTGCGGTTTTCCTTTCATTTGGCTTTTTCTTTCTTCAACACAGTGTGTTCGCAGACTCAATAATCAGCCAAGAAAACAAGAAAAAACACCCATTTAATGTGAGGTACAAAAAAACCCCAAAATCTTCTATCAGGCTTGCCATTTTGAAATATTTGCAGATAGACTCTACAACACATGTCTGTATGCGGAGCTTTCATGAATAGAGGAGAGGAACAACAGCTCTGAAAGTGTTCCACAGAAATGTGACAGGCACTTGCTGGATACTTTCTGAAATTTGGCTTTCAGAAAATTGAACTCAGTACTGACCTCTTGATGTTTAGCAGTAGACATTATGCGTGTTTAAAGTGTTATCTGGCACCTGCATTTTCAGGAACATCATAGGAAGCAAGAATGAATAGAATGAGTCTCATTGTCCTTGTTGAAAATGACAGCTAGAATTGTTATATATCTTTTAACTTTGACAATGCTTTTCCACAGCATCAATTCCATGAGTGATATACTGTAAATTAATAATCCTAATAATTTCTGGTATTCGTGTAGCACTTTTCATCCAAAAGCATCTCAAAATATTGAAGAGGTGTCCTACTTCATCCAACAGTGAAGTACAGCTGTGAGAACCTCAATTCAATATCTCAGCCAAATGAAGATTGCACTTCAAATTCCACAGTTTCCTTGTATGCCCAAAACAGGCGCACTGGAGCGGAAGTTCTGGTAAGAAGAACACCACCTACTGATCCACCAACACCACTTTACAGAAGCAACTGGTTTGTCCTAGAGGTCCCACCCAGTCTAAACAATGCCAGCCTTGCTCAGATTCTCCGATCCAACAAGATCTAGCTGCAAGATGTTTAATG